CTTGTTTCTTAACAGCAACAACAAAAGTTTCCTTGTAGGTATTTTTCATCTTTTCCCAACTGGATTATAACTCTTTGAAAACAAAGTCTACCTATTCTACTTTTTATTTGTGCTTTGGAGTTTTGGGTGGATATAGTAAACATTGAATTAGTGAGATTATTAAATAAACTCAACTAGTGTGTGAATACGATGAAGACTTATATTCCAAGTTGGCTTTAACTTTTGAAGTTTTTTTTCACCTGCTAATTTATCAAGTTAAATTGAAATCAACAGGGTGGCATTCACTTTTATTCCATAAATTTGGCCATTTTGATAAATTTATCTTCTATAAGGAAATCATTGCTTCCTGGATGTAGAAGTTTTTTAAAATGTTTATAATTTGAATGTGATTTCAAGAAACTAGTCAAAATGTGAATGTGAACCTGTGTTCTTAGGAACAGCCAACCACCTCCTTGTTTGTTTGCCAGATAAAAGCATTTGAAAGTTAACATAGACTTCCTTTTAAGATCTTGGAAGAGTGGTCTTTTGAGTATTTGAATTAAGATGAGAAAACATTGAGTAGTGTGATTATAACTACAACACTTTGCTGTTCAAGGACTCTTAGATCTGAAGGTCTAGAGGACTACTGAAAGGCTGTTACATAAGATAAACGAAAAGAATCTTCATTTTCAATTTGGAGTTGCTATGTACAAATAAGCTGTTTGAAGAATCTCTACTTTAGGCTGATTGTGGTGGCTCATGCTTATAATCCGAGTGCTTTGAGAGGCTGAAGTAGGAGGCTAGGAGTTCAAAAACAGCCTGGGCAACATACCGAGAGCCTTTCAAAAAAAAGAAAAAATTTAGCCAGGTATGGTGGTACATGCCTATAGTCCTAGCTACTCAGGAGGCTAAGGCAAGAGGATCTCTTGAGCCCAGGAGTTCAAGGTAACAGTGAACTATGATTGCACCACTGTATTCCACCCTAGGTGACAGAACAAGACCTTGTCTCTAAAAATAATTAAAAAATTAAAAAGAGTCTCTGCTTCAAGCTTGAGGAATATTTTGTAGATTTGGTGGTTTGGGATAAAAACAAAAGAGAGTCTCTTGTGTAGTGGTGCCAAAATCAGGGTGTTATTAAAAAGTTGCTTTTGAATATTTTCATTTTCTATTTTGAATTTGCGCTCATGGAAAGCTAACAGTGCTACTTTCCTGCTGTTAATGTGTCTCTGAGCCACTATCAGAAGCAGAGTCCTAGGCTGGAAAGACCCAAAAAGCAGATGAATAAGGCATTTTATATCTATCATAATCAGAGACTACCTGGATGAAAAGTTAGCTGCAAATGTTTTATGTGTGCTGTTTTTAAGAAAATGTTCAAGAATTGATCCATAATATACTGCTAATAAAGATTATCTTTCAGTTGTCTTTGGAGAAGTAGGCACCTTCAAAATACTCTCAAGTATGATTGGAATGAAAGTAGCAACTTCATCCTTTATTTCCAAGCAAGCTAACATCAAGAGATAAATATCTTGTTTCTTAATTTTAAGCCCTTTTAAATTTTGTTTTCCATAATTTCTTATGTTATGTGGTACCTTCCGCTTGGTTTCCTTCTACTTCTCTGCTTAAATAATACTTCGGAGTTTCATTTCTCTCTCTCTCTCTCTCTCTCTCTCTCTCTCTCTCTCTCTCTCTCT